CCCCAAAACCCCAAAACCCCAAAACCCCAAAACCCCAAGAATAGTATAACTTAAAGGATTGGTTAAAATGAATGAATGATTTTTGTTGATATATGATTCTTGAGATGTATTTTCATATATTCAAATTTGAAGGGGCTTAAATTTGGGTTCAAATTAAAAGGTTTTGCTTTTAGGCTTGTTGTCATCAATACAGTTTGTGTAGTCCAAATGACCGAGATTCTTGTGCATTTAGCAAAAGTAGACATATGGATTGAGATCTGAGGTAAGGAGAGTTGCTACCTTTTGATGAATGGCAATGGCAGTTTAGAATTCAATTGGATCATTGGGATCAAATCCAGTTTTCAAAGCGAGGTAATTGAGCAAGAGCTTATTGTCTTTTTGAAGTCTGTGTCTCAACTCATGAAAAGAGTCAGCACTCAAATCATGAAGTCCAAAGCTGTTGAAATTTAGAGTTCTAAATGGCCATTATGACAAATCCTGTGGAATTGAAGTCCAGTTATATGTCTTTTGAATTGGTAAAAATACCATAGTAAGATTTCTAGCTGAAATGTGGTCTTAATCTTCAACTGTGAATAAAGCATAGCCAGGATTTTATGCAGAAGCAGAAGTCACACCAGGTGCAATAACGATGTTATGAAAATTAAAATCATTTAGAGAGCCACTAGTTAGAGATTTCTTAGCAGATTAGTGTATCTTAGAGCCATGGTTATACCTGAGATCTGAGATATGGTCATGTCCTGAGACTTCTAGGAGAATCTTGTCATTATATTTAAGAAGAATCTCAATGAAATCTGAAGTATAATTACTATGCCAGAGTTTTGCTGGTATTTGTTCTTACTTTGAACCTGGATAGATATGGTTAGAGATGATGAACTTTCTATCATGCTCAGCAGTCATGAACTGCTTCTCAAGCCAAGCGAATTAATCCTCTAATTAGTCACCTTGATTAGCTGGGTCATTATTCTTATTGTACATTAGAGTGTTAATCATAAGCATGGAAATTTTTTCAGAGAGATCTACCCTATAGTAACCTCCATCTAAGAAGGTATTTTAAATTTCTGAAAGCTCCTTGATTTAGTTGTTTCTAGTATGATTAAGGAAGTATGTCTCAAAAAGATATGAGTAATACTCTTGCTTATCATTCTCATAAGGTGATTGATAATGGTATCTGCAATCATTGTTGCCAAGTGTGGGCAAAACCAATGAATTAGGGAAGTACTTATTTAGTAATTGGCCAAGTTGAGAATGAACTTCCAATAGCTTCTAGTAGAGCTCTGGCTTGTCAGTGACCCCTGGATTCACTGCTAAGTTATGACCGATCATGTCTCCAGTTAAAAGTATCACATCTACTTGACCTTCTGTTTCATTAATTCTTCTCATGAAACTTTCGATGAGATCAGCTGGAGGATCGCATAAAAGTCTTCCCAAAGGAGCATAATCAGAGCTAGTTATGAGATCCTAATAGCTCAGCTTAAGTTTATTCTTAATAAAGTAATTTTGGCAGAAATGTTGAGCATCTATATTTGGGTCATAGTATGGTTGCAAATGCATGTCACTGAGTACTGCAAATTTCAATGCATTTGTTGCGACAGCAACCACAGACAGAGTTAAGAATTAAGAAATGGATCTCATAATCTATCTATTTTTAAAAATTATTATATTTTTGAGTTTTATATAATAATATTTATTACTAGATATTTATCTTATTTTTTCTAAAAGGGGTTTTGGGGTTTTGGGGAGATCGGAAG